AGGAATGGAACAAGTTACAGCCACATACTGCAATTTCTCAAAAAGTACTAGAAATTGAGACCTCTTAAATGTGAAACCTTTATACATTTTTAAATGGTGGAACTTTCTAAATGTTCCAAATACAGTAAGATCAAGCAATATATATCTGTGGATCAGATTCTCATTACCAAGAGCCCCTTGCTACTGAAAGCTCACAGTTAACAAAACAAACAAACAAACAAAACTCTCTATATAATTAAAGGTGCAACAGCAAAACAAAACTCCTTTACCATCCCCCTTCACTTCTACAGAAGAGAGAAATAATGAAGACCATGCAAAGCAGCTTCATAAAATTACAGAGATTACTAATAACAAACTCCTTAACCTTTTCTCTCTCAAGAAAAAGAAACTGGTTGACAATGGTTGCTGACCGTAATTAGCAATAATTTTTACTGTGTTTGAGTAGTAGAACAATGCAGGTGTTTCAAGAGTTATAACCATGAGTAAAATGCCCTTTTTCAAGGAGATTCTTCCAGGGGAGTTTAAGATCTACTGGGAAGTAAACCGATTACTATAAATATAGACATAACACATTCTGTAGCCAATATACATATATGGGAAGACTTTTTTTTTTCTTCTTCAAAACTTACAAAAAGGAAAATATTTAAATAAGTGTTACAGTTAAAGTTATACAATTTTTTCCAGCCTTAACCAAACTAGTAAAAATGCTCAGTAATAAACATGAGACTAGTGATTCATCACGCACATAGGAAAACAAAGTACAAAATTCTAAGTGTTAATATATTTGCACTGGTCTACTTACAGATTGTCACTTGACACTCTTGTGATTGACCAGCACAAAACCAGCTGAAAACAAGGTTGAACTCCCTGACCAAGGAAACTGTAGTCTAACAAACCACTTGCAGACTCAATTCTATGATTTAAACCTTCTTAATATCACTTATCAGTAACTAAAGGGATAGTTACTAACAGTCGAATATTTTTATTTGTTTTGTTTTGTTATGTTTTAAATGCCAAAGGGTAATCTATCCCCAGAGATAGAGAAACAGAGAGAGAAAGAAAGACACAGAGAGAATGCATCCTTCAATTGGGCATAGTCATTTCACAATCCCTTCTCCTTCATTTCCCTATCCTGTTGGGATTTTGGGCATACACACATCTACCTAGTATGTTTTTCAAGCTTCAAGCCACTGGATTTGAACTTGGGTAGCCTATGTGGGATCTGGATTCCTTAACTACTAGACTACAGGGCCAGTCCAAGTAGTGAAAACGAATTTGGTCCAAGAGCATTCCTTTAATACTTTTACAAACAATATGACACTATTTTACCTAAGTGTCAAAGCTTTTCCCTTCCATTTAAAAACAGGAATTTATAGAGAACACTTGGATTGCACCTCAAAAACTGCTTAGTTTACTGCTGAAAGCCCTTATAAAGCAAAAATAAAATGTTAAATATAATTAACAATGGCAGGCTTGACTGTCAAGTTCAAAATATTTCCTAAGATAGTTGCTAATAAAAGGGGCCCTACACCACAAGAATGAGTAGGAAATTTAATGACAATAAAATTACATTATTGGTTTAGGGGACTGTTTGCTTAATGAACCTTTGCTATGTGCCAGGCACTGTGCTGAATACACACTCAGGGTTCTCAGTAAATATTAAAAACCATATGAGAGAGGTACCATTATTATCCCCATTTTATAGATGGGGAATCTGACCTTTCCAAGATCACATAGTAAATGGCAGAGTCAGGATTCCAACCCAGATCTTGACTAACTTCAGAATTTGCACACTTAACCACTACACTGTATTGCCTCCAGTGACTCTGGGTTGATATCTAAGATAAAGAAAAAGAGGGAAATGTATACGTCTCAGTGGCAAATTGTAAAAACATACTAGAAATGGAGGATACTTTTTAGAACATGAACAATTCCCATATACAGTCTTAGAAATATTTTTATTCCTAAATATAAATAATGCTGAAAAATCTCACAAAACTGACTTCGCACAAACACAATTTTTCCTAAGAATTTAATCATGCTCATTACAGAAGAAATTAATGCGAACACTGTAACTATCCACTCAATCTTGCTGTGAACCTAAATTGCTCAAAAAACAAGCTATTTAAAATTATTTTTGAACTATACTATCTCAAATATGCCTAAATCAATCCAGTTATGAACTAGTATAAGACTAGATTCTTTCTGCAAGAAAAGATGCATTTTGCTTATTATAAGCACAGTGTTGAATGTGTACTGGGTACTTTATAAATATTTAAATGATTTTTTTCAAAAAGACTTGGAGGTATGCAAGCAGGGCTGTAAAATTGGAATTTTTAATACTCCCAAAATACTCCCAGAAAACTCTGCAATGTGTAGACATGAAATATATCGGAAAAAAATAGATTTTAGAAACCCGATTCTGTATTAAATATAAAAAGAATACAATGTCCCTAAACCATGGCTGTCATAAATACTAACTTTTCTTTTCCATTTTAAGTAGCAAAAGATGTAGCCTTAAGACTAGATTAGTATTACAGAATCATTTCCTAATTAGTTTAAGGCCTTCCTAAATCCTTTAGAGAAGCTTATTCCCCCCTCCCCAAAAAAATGTGAATAGTTCACAGTGACTGTCAACCTATGAATGAACCAAGTCTTTTCCTGATACTCCCGGAGGTTACTGAAGTTCTAAGGTCAATTAAGACTAATGTGAAACAAGTTTTGACTACTATGACCACTTCCCGTCTCAAGATTTTCTCAAGATCCATCTTTATACATACCTAAGTTCACCAATAAAGAGAACAAATAAGAACATACTTAGGTGGAAAAAAAGTCATTTGTCTTGCATGTTATCCAGTAAACTGTCAGAAATCATTCTGTAATAGAATACTGTACTGGCCACCAACAAAGTGTTGAAGAGAAACGCTATTAATTTTGTTTTGCACCAACCTGCACTTGCAAAGTCTCCACTACAAAAGCTCAGGAATACTAATCAATGGGAATTACATATATTGTTTGAGTATGGGCCCTTAATCAAACACCTGCAAATTCGCACTACTTTCCTTTTCCTCTGACCCACGTTTTCTAAGTTATCCAAAGGATTTTCCACACCACCGTGCTTCTAACAGACAACAGTTGGGATTTGCAATGCCCCAGAAACATTCTGGCAAACGCACTTATCAAATTATATTATTACAATACTCATTAAACACTTGCATTCAAAACTTCTCATTAATCACCTAGCTTCAGCAGGGAACATACACAAGTTTATAGAGTATGACTACCTCGCTAACTTTAAGGTGGGCTGAACCCTGAGACAGCACCTCAATTTGGAAGGGACATAACCATATCCGGTTCTCACTGGATACACATATTCCCAAGCTTCCCGTCTTATAAACTTTACATCTTCCCAGAGGTGCAATAAACAGACGAAGACGCTAGGGAGCATGCCTGTAGGGAAGATGAGCGATCAAATTAAATCCCTATGTATGAAACCTGAAGCTTCAAAACTTTCAGAACAAATCACAGCTGCAAGAACAAGGTATGTTTTATCACTTCATTTCCACTTTCCAAAAGCCAGTTTCCCCAAGCCCTGAAAAGCAGTCTTGACTTACTGGTTAGTTGGAGGAGCAGTCAACGGTATAGCCACCTCTTCTTCCTCGTATTCTGGTCCATCTAGAGAGTCACCTTCGTCCACTGTCCCCAGGCCCGCGCCCAAAGGGGTCAGTTGAGGAGGCGGGGGCAGCGGAGGGAATATGCAGCCTGGCCCGAGGGTCTCAACAGACAACGAAGTGGTCCCTTTAGTGAGAGCCATCTCTCCCCCAGGTCCGGCGACAGCAGGACCAGCCACGCCGGCAGGAGCACCCCCA